TCTCCATTTCAAAAGACTTTCTTAAATCTTATCGTCCCTCATGGATAATTGACAAACCAGAGACCCTGCTATTGCAAACATCTTGTCCACAGCCACATTGTCCTGTCAGCTCCTGCAAAACCAAGTCTAAATCCTCTGTTCCCATTATCTCCCCAGTCAGACAGAAAGAAACGACAACTTATTCTGAGCTGAAGTTTCAAAACCTGCCTGAGCAGCAGAGAAGCACGAGAGCTCAGCAGACAGAGTACAGATGGACTGGGGGCAGGCCAAACCTGTCGAGGAGACATAAAGGTAATATTGTCCTGGTTTCACAACAGCACTTGGCCTTCACGCTTCTCTGCTACCACCACATACACAACAAACTTTCCAGACCCAGGTTGTGCACTATGTCCTGAATCCACCTGCTGCATGATACCTCTGCCATGAGACATCTCACCTGAGTCATCCTGTAGCACAGTGCCTCCGTGCAGATTGTAAAAAGTCAATTTACTGTTCCTTTACATGCACAATAAATACCCTTTATATTCATAGATTGCTAGGGGCTGGAAGGGACTTTGTACATCATTGGGTCCAGTGCTCCTGCACTAGGCAGGAAAAGACAACTGGAGTCAAGTGACCCCAGCGAGGTGACTGTCCAGTCTCCTTTGGAAGATTTCCAGGGTAGGTGACTGCACCACCTCTGGAGGGAATTTATTCCACAGTCTGGACACCTTGACTATGAAGGAGTTTTTCCTAGTATTGAACCTGAAGCAGTATTCCAAGAGTTTGTATCCATTGCTCCTGGTATTCCCCGGGGTGCCCTGGTGAACAGCTGTTCAGCAAGTTTGTAAGATAATCTCCTGATGTAGCAGTAAGTTACTACCAAGTCTCCTCTCAGCCTCTCTTCTGTAGGCTGAAGAGGCCCATGTCCCTCAGCCTTAAGGGTAGTTTTTTATGTTCCTTCTCTTGGAGTGTTTAGCAGGGCAGCTTTTCTGTCCAATCAATCAGTCAAAGAACCTCAGTTTGATTTTAAAGGAAATCTGAGCTTATTCTCAGATAATAGCCTGGTTGGAACAGCTGGGAATAGAAAAAGAAAACAAAACAAAACAAAAAAAAAGTCACATACCCCAGAAGTAAATCAGGCATTTGCTACACCACTAACTCCATATCTGAATGTAAGAGGAAAATGATGCAAGTATCTGGAAAGATCTTCTTGCATTTCATAAAGGTAAAGGCCTAAGGAGCCATCTGGTCCATCCTTCAAAGCATTTCACATTATGCGCTCCAGAACTCCAGGGTCAGAGCTTAATGCATCCCCACAAGAGCAAACGAGCTCAAATGCACTTATTTGCCCTACTAAACATACTCATAACACACTTTCCAAAGTGACTGTGCTGCTTTTGTTAGGACATGACCCTGAGCGAGTCTACACAAGATGCTTTAATGCACATTAGCCTAAATTTAAGGTGAATTAGGGTACATGTCTACATATACATGCCCTTAATGTGCTTACAAAATGGTGATTTTGGACTAATTATGCCTAAAGTTGGTAGTTTCAAATGCAGGTATCAAATTTAGGCATGAATCTTTAAAGCACATTAACTCACATGTGGATACACTAAAGAACATTAACGCTGTGTGTGTGGACTGATTTGGGACTAACTTTAGTACCAAGTCAGTCTACACACAGCATTAATGCACTTTAATGCCTGCACATATAGAAGCCTGCCTAAACCCACTTCATGTGCATTAAGCTAATGCACATTAAATTTAGGCACGCTTAAAGTCATGCCCCTTGTGTTGTTTACTTGAGATAGAAAACATACACACATATTAAGATGATGCTCAGGTGATTTATTCCAGTTGAAGATTATACCAAGAAACTACAAACTAGCAGATTTTAGTCCTTTCAGAAACCAGCTGGAAAATCACATCTCAGCCTGCTGTGGGGAGTCACATGAAAGTACTTGGGTCATTTGGCATTTTCCCTATGAATCTTTTCCTTAGTATCTCCAACTGCCAGGACAGTGCTGCTCTGTATCTAGGATACCAGCTGTAACACAAGGCAGCTAAATGCCATGGTCTACCTGTGCCCACTAATGCCACAATCCAGCATTAAACACTAGGGCTACTATTAATTCTTCTTTGACTGTCGACAGTGGCAGAGGGAAGAATTGGTCCAGGTATGACACCAAGCGTTTGATTGGTTGAGTTGTCTCCCAGGAGCATTCAGTTATATGCCAAAGCACACTTTCATTTAAATACATTTGAAGTCTTTTTTTTCTTCTCTCTTGCCTCCAGGATCCGGGCGCAGCAGCACTAGCACTTATGAAAAGCAAATTTGGGGCACATATATCTAATAGAAAGCGGGTTGTGGATGATCTGCTTCAATGTAAAATCCAGTTGATGTTGTGCTTGGTATTTGCATGTCATCTGATCTGAAAGCAGAAACAAGAGGCAAACAGAGTGCATTCAGGGTATTTACAGCAGCCTGACTGCCCAGAACAGGAAGAGTTTTTCATCCAAAACTTGGAGATCTTATGAAACAGAGATGACAACCCAAAATTGTGCCCATGCTCACAAATCATGTTGCCACATAAGCATGCACACAGCTACTGAGCATTTTCCTCCAAGTATTGCCCTTGTTTCCTGCACTAGTCATTAGACCATCTGTTGTCACCTTTGCATCGTACTCTATTCACTGTTTTTCATCAGGCGCAACAGGTTCTAGGAGACATTTTTAAAGATATCCATGCAAGCCTTTCCTCTCATTTCCTTTCCAAGTTTTGTCACATGTGACAGAGTGCTTTCTGTATTTAGCTCTTGTCAATTTTTATGATGCCTTAGTTGTATTTATTTACCAGACCTTTCACTGGCGGCTTGCTATACTTGTCCTTGGTGTACACCTCTTCACTGGCAGCTTGCTACACTTGTCCTTGGAGTTCTCTGCCTGATTTTGTTGATATCAACAGGAGTTTTGGGTTACCAAGGTAAGTTCATAGGGGAGGAATCACTGTGGATTTGATAGAAGGCCTTGCAATGTTTTAGAGGGCAAGCAGTGTTTTCTGATGACTCTACTAGGAGGCTAACCTGCTATATTTCTTGCAGTATGTCACTCAAGTACTAGATCTCTATGAGCTGTATGCAGTATTAAGCAGACTGTAGCACCTCATGAATGAGGGAAACAAAGCTGGGTGGAAGCTTCTTTAGTTACATGTAGTTGCAGTATCTTTCTTTATAAACACATTCCTGTTCTGGTTGAACACTGATCCCATGACTCACTGGGCACCAGAATAAAGCAGGACTTTGGGTTTCATATAACCAATGGTCATGAACCCAGAAGCCCTCCCCTCAATGTGGGGAAATAAGACACATGAAGGAAAATTCTGTCTTGTCCACGTGAAAACAAAAAGCATATTGAGATAATACAAAAGGGGCAGTAGAATGGAAAAGTGTTAAGGAGCTGCTTTCCACGTATTCAGCACAATACTAAGGAAGAGACAATACAGGCAACCTTCTTCCATGCCTTGGAAGCCCTTTCTCTTTAAATTGAGTCAGTTCAGTTCTGGCCTATCAGATGTGTGAGACATGCATGCACTGGGAACAGTGTGTTGTCTCCTGCATACCTGACTATTTTGGTTTGATGCAACTACGGCCTGCCAGGCACTGTACTTTACTCCCAAAAGGACTGTGGTTTTGGAAGTATTTTCCAACCACGAGTTCAGGGTGGGGAAGCCCACACCTAGATACAGAAATTTCTTACAGAAATGAAATTCCCCAGCATCTTGTGTCCATGCCTGGAAGTCCTGGGAGCTCCAGGTCCATGGCAAGCCCCTAAAGATGCCTTAAAAGTGCCTGGAAACCTTCACAGCCCTGATTACACTGTTTCCACCAGGAGGGCATGGAAGGAGTCAGAAAGCATGGGTCACCCATTAGATCTTGATTTATCCAGGTTCTCCATATGGAGCACCAGAGAAACAGGTTGGAAGTTGAGCTAGGAGGGAACCAGACAGGATGCACTGGGTGCACCTACACATGCAAGTGCTGCTGGGTGGAATTAGTCCACAGTAAATTACTGCATAATAAACCCACCCTGGGCAGGCATTTGGGAGCATGTCTGCTGCCACCCTGCTCTGCCCCCCTGCAAGAGCCATGGGGAGCTTCAGGCTCCCCCTCAGTGCTAGCCCAGAAGTTGGCAGGGAGCAGGGGGCCAGGAGACAGATGTCTGCTTGCAGGGGCTGGGAAATTTCTCCCTGCCCCCAGGAGCTGCCTGATGCCAGGGGGGCACTGATGGTGGAGCCTGGTCTGGGATGATGTTCTCCTGCCCCAGCAGCAGGTAGCTCCCAGCTACCCAAACAGGGTCAGGGGCTTGGAAAGAGCTGTGGGGAAGGGGAAGGTCCCAGTCTCCTCACAAATCTGCCAGTGAGGCAGTTAGCAGTGAGCTCGCAGCTGGGTGGAGATTCACATGACCAGACTGTGGAATAGACTCTCAGCAGGGGTGGTGCGAGCACCTACCCTGGAGATCTTCAAAAGGAGACTGGACGCACACCTTGCTTGGGTTATTTGACCCCAGAAGTCTTTCCTGCCTAGAGCGGGGGCCTGGACCCAATGATCTCACAAGGTCCCTTCCAGCCCTAAACTTCTGTGAATCTGTGTGTAGTCAGTAATGCTAAGTGCACAGCAATGTGCTGTACTGTGCAGTAGACATCTCATGTAGATGTGCACATTGGAAACTGCCCTGATTTCCATGACAAGTTTAGTCACTATGGAAAGGTTTCTGCTCCCTTGTGAGAACAAATCTTTTTTTTTTTTTTCCCCCCGCAATGGAAAAAAGTTTCCCTCAGGCAATTTGTAACTGTAAATGCTCTAAGTATAAATGATATCAGTGCGAGTGGGGCTTTGTGTCACCACATTGCAGAGAACACCAGGTCTGTGGATCTCAGCTGCAGACACTGTTGGTCTGTTCTGATGTTTCAGTCACTCAGCTGCACCGAGAAAAGGAAAACCTCACCCAGCAGCTGATGTCCTGCCCAGACTCACTGCCAGGCCCACCTGACGCTCTTTGGGGGCAGACTCTTGACAAAAGTAAGTCATTGGGTAGGAGCTGCTATGTCCTCAGGACAGAGCTGGCAGACCCAAGCCTGTATGTGAGGCTGTCCTGGCCCCGCAGAGTGGTGTCCTACCTCCTACAGGTGTGTTGGCCTTGGCTGAACTATCCACACCTGCCATGAGGTCCCCTCTGCAGGGAGGCTTTGGGGGATGGGGACTACTCACTGCTTCTTTCCTCAGACCAATCCAATCCATTTTCCTCCCATCCCAGTTTAGGAGAGCCCACAGCTTCCTTTAAAGGTCTTCCCACTCACTCCTTTCCTAGCCCCGAAGGTGGCAGCTCACTCAGAGATTTTTGACAAGCACCTTCTCACAGGTGCCTGCAGAGCAGCAAACCAAAATTGTGCATGGAGCTGGGCCACTGCAATGAGCAGCCCAACCCCAGCCAGTGTTTCCTAAGTGTTCACAAAATGTGCTTGGATATGACACAAATGAAAGGTTTTGGTTGCCTAGTCTGCCTGCTGTTTTGAATTGTTAGGTAACTGGGAACAAATGTATAAATAATGGAATGCCTAGAAATGGGAATGACCTCCTTAGAAATTTTGCAAATTAAATCACACAGTTTCAAAGCAGCTTTTTTTAGGGTTAGGGTTTTGCTTTAAAAGACATTTTCAAAATGTTGCCATTTCAGGATTCAGGACAGGGAAATCTTCTTTACTTTCACAACTTGCAGGGGGAGGGAAAAACCTTTCCCCCTCCAGCTGTTGCTGTCCATGTCCTGTTCCATGACTTGCCTGGTGCTCCTGCCTCTTGGCCACCACTCCCCAGATGAGTTGTGTCTTAGGAGATCTGCCTGGCCTTGGCCAAGATGACAGTGATTGTAAGGCCCCTCATTCACCCATACAACTCTGGAAGCCGTCCCTGATGCGTTTGCATGGAAACAGCCATCCCTTGAGGGGAAGGGCCATCCCCCTTCAGGTGTGTGGGGCAGAAACTGTGCCCCCCAAACACTGTAGTTCCCATGAGACCCAAGCAGGGGAGGTGAAGGGACACAGAAGGGGTGAAATCCTTCTGCTGCTGACAACAACACAGCCAGCTCAGGGCAATGGGGGAATGTGATGAGCTGATCTGTGCTGTGCTTTTGTTCCAGGGGAGAAGTGTCCAGCACTGTGGATTGCCAGCCAGGACAGGTCCTACCTGTTTTCTCCTGAAAGAGGAACTTGGGACCAGTGTAAATTCTACTGCATTTCTCAATCTGCCAAACTGCTCAAGCTGGAGAGTAAAGAAGAGTTGGTGAGCATGTGTTTCCTTTAATATATCAGTACAACATGACCATATGAATGCAGCCAGGAAGGAGTCAGTCTTTAGGGCTGCATTTCCTGGCACAGCTACAGCTGGGATGGGGTGGGGAAGGATGGTGAGGAAAGGATTCAGTGAGGGGTTTATCTATACGCCCACATGTGTTCTATGTTTTTCCAAACTACCGTGTGCATGTCTGTAGCCATGGGTCTGATCCTACAGTGTTACCTGCAGTATGCTGCAGAACTCACCTGCCCACACTGGCACTTGCTCTTATGCAGGTGCAGGCTACCAAGTTTTCTTCCAAAAGTAACTCTGCACTGAGGCTTGTGGTTATACCATAGTGCTCTGCTGGCGCTTTCCACATGGCTGAGAGAACTTACTTCCATTCCTTCTGATCTTTTCTGCTGCAGGATTTCATAACTGCAACATCTTTCCAATACTCTGAACATCGTGCAGCTGGTGCATACTACTACCCATTCTGGACTGGATTGTCATACAACTCTGGAAAGAGGATGTGGTTCTGGACAGATGATTCAGCTCTCTCCTCTAACCTGTAAGTCTGTGTCACTAGGGTAGTGGTTCACAAACTATTGATCCCTAGGGCACACTTTTTAAAAATTTAAATGGGCAGCACACTTCACTCTTACACCCAAGAAGGTGTGTGTATTAGGCCTGTGCGAGTCAGCAGCAATCCAATCTGGATTTGGATCCAGCTGCTTCAGGTGCCCGCGATCCGATCTGGAGCTCTGGACCAGGTTTCCACCTCGATCCGGCCCAAGCGGCTCCGAAGCTTCAGAGCCGCTTTGGAGATCTGGCCATACGGTATAATGGGGAATCAATTAAATATCTATAAGTTTGTTGTTTTTTGTCTGATTGGGATTAAATTTATAGGGATGGTAGCCTCTGCTGAGATCATGGAACCTGCCAAGCTTCAAGAAGATCGGTGTAGGGGTTTGGGTGGAACTGCCCCTCAAGCTGCAGACAAGCAAAACTGGTGCCATGGGTGACACTGCGTGTGTTAAGGCGCAGCGGGGTGACAGCTGCAGGGATGGTGGCCCCTGCTGTGACGCCTGCCAGCTGTTGAGGAGATCAGGGCAGGGGGGTTCTGGGGCCCTGCACCCCTAGCTGCTGATGGACAAAACTCATGCCAAGCTTGTGTCTGTCTTGGGGCAGTTGATTGTCTGTATTGATTCTTTCCTCTCCTTAGGCCGATTTTGTAGGTGCTAATTAATGCCCGTTAAGTCATTATGAAGTAGCTAGGTCCTGTGTATTGAGCTGGTCCCTGAGTGAATCTCGATTGATTGATTGATTGATTGATTGATTGGTAAGTGGGAAAACAGCAGTTTAGCAGCCAGGCCTGCAGTAGTGTGTCTCCTCCCCACCCCAAGACAGACAGTCAGTCCCACAAGCACCCATGGCACTAGTTTTGCTTGTCTGCAGTTTGAGGGGCAGTTCCTCCCAAACCCCTGCACCGATCATCTTGAAACTTGTCAGGTTTTGTGGCCTCAGTAAGATCTACCACCCCTGCCGTTTTGATCCCCCTGTGTTGTAACACGTAGACGTGACAGGAGTTTTGCTTTCAACAATTTGGGGTACGGTTGCCCCCAAACCCCTGCACTTGTCTTCTTGAAACTTGGCACGATTTGTGGCCTCAGTAAGAGCTACCAGTCCTGCAGTTTTCACCCTATGTTGTAATGCCTAGATGTGACATGAGTTTTGCTTTCAAGCATTTGAGGTGCCGTTTTCTCCCCCAAACCCCTGCACCGATCTTCTTGAAACTTGGCAGGCTTCATCCTCTCTGCAGAGTCTACCACCCCTGAAAATGTCATGCAAAGCAGACAAAAAAACAACAAAGTTATAGATATTTAATTGTTTCCCCATTATACCCTAAGGCCGGATCTGCGAGGAGGCTCCGAAGCCCTTGGGGAAGCCTAACGAGGCCGCGCTGAGACCCGGAGATGCTGCTTCGACCCCGAAGCGTCCTAAGTTTCTCTGGATCCTAAGCTCTGTCCCAAGCCTTGCATAGCCCTAGTGCGTGTGCATGTGTATGTTTAAGGTCCAGATTCAAAACATATGCAAGATGCCATTCCCTTGCAGGAGGAAAGCAAACCAGTGCTGAGATGGGCTGTTAAAAAAACGACCTGCTTCCTGATTTCCATGGTGTTCCCTTCAGGGGGTAAGGTCAGCCTCTGGTGTGGAAGCTGCATCCTGCAGGGTTTTACATGGCAGCGGCTACCCCCTTGGCATCTCATGCTGGCCCCAGGGATGTTGGATGGGTGCAGCGGGGATGAGCTGTTCTGTTTTTCTGCAACAGAGCATACTGTTCAGAGCATGGCATGGAGCGGGTGTGGGCTGTGCAGGGACAGGGACTGCCTGCTAGTGGGGAAGTGTTGGGAAAGGCAGCAGCAGCAGCAGTGACAGTCCTCAGAGGAGAAGCTACAGGCACAGTCAGTGTAGCTCTCCTCAGTTCTGCACCAAAGTGCAGCACTTGCACCCAGATGTAATTTCCCCTGGAACCATAAGGGTCTGATGCTGACGGCTGGTGGTGGAAGAAGGTGCAATTAGCTCAGGGTTGTATGTCAAAGACCCCCACGTACTGCTGCCACCATGCAAGTTCCCCACACCCAGGCTAGGGCTACAGACTGTGTAGAACAGTGCAAGGATGAAACAGGGTTATGACCAGGGATCCTGGTTTTCTCTGTTTAAAAATCACATATTGTGTGATAAAAATCTTAAATGCTCCAATTAAAACCTTTACATTCACATTTTTTCTAAGATTAAAATGAAACACTAATGTATATATATAGTTATCAGTTGAACACAAAGTTTTATTGATATATTTACAATTTTAAAGCAATTTGGAAGCCTACCAGTGCCTCAATCATTATAATAAAATAAATTCAAAATGCCTATATATGTTGGTGTTTGATTTTGGGTTTTTTATCACGAAATACCAGAGCTCTCCCTGCCCCTTTTATTCACCAAGACAAGGCTCCATTTGCGGCTGTTGCCCCACTTCTCCTGCTTTATGGTGCTGATCAGCCATAATATGCCTGTACCCTGCCCATGTCATTGCCCCTCACTACCTTGCCACAGCCCCCCCAGCCTGACTGGTGCTCCTCACTCCTGACCCACATCCCCCTGGCCCTGCCAATGCCCTTCATGTCCCACCCACAGCCCCAGAGCCCCACTGGTGCTCCTCACTTGTGACTTGCAGCACCCGGGCTGGCCAGCCTTGCTGGAAGGGGCTTCCAGCTGCCAGACAGACAGGGCTCATGGGAGGCAGCAGCTGCTGTGGCCAGAGTGGAGCGCAGAGCCCAGCTCCACCTCCCCATGGGTAGCACAGCTGGCGCAGAGCCCAAAGGACGGGGTGAATACAGGCTGCCCACAGCAGGCTTGGGTCTCCCCTCCCAACTTCCCTTCCCCCTGGGGCCCTCTGTGACCCAGTAGGCAAGACTAAGCAAAGAAGGGCAGAGCAGGGTAGGGAGGTTCGGTGCCACCACCAGGAGCCCTGTGCTACTATGGCGAGGAACCTCCTGCCCACCTGGCACCAGGGGACCCCAGATGCTGCTGCCTCTTTACAGGCCCCCCACAACCCAGCTGGGACTAGTGACTGTGTCCAACAGCGCAGGGATAGAACAGGGTCATGACATCTCCTTGCTGCCCTCAAGTAGCTTTTCTCTCTTGAAAACTGTCCACTCTAATGCAATTTCCTATGCCTGTTGCAGATCAATATACCATGATATGGGGTAGCCATTTCAGATTGCTCATGAGGTGATGGTGTTAGATCATAGATGTGGGAGGTGGGTTTTTGGGACAGGGGAGTTTGCTGCATCAGAGGTGCATAGTATGTTAATTAGTCATATTGTAGATAAATGTATCCAACGGATTCCACCGAAGCTCATGTGATCTGTGAATTGTTTGGGATATTGGGACTTCTTCTTTCACCCTCTTTGGGAATGGAGACATCTCTGAGTCAGCATGCAAGCATGGGAGGGGGAGGAAAGAAAAATATTTTGCAAATTTGATTCCAGGAGCAATTTCTGGAGGGCTGAATAGTCCTCAAGTAAAGCGTGTTGAGGATTCAAAGTTGACCACATCCAGCCTTGTAAATGTGCCATGAGAGTGCAGGGGTCCTGTGTTGCCTGTTTCCCATCCAACCAATTACTGACTTTACTAATAAAGCATCTCTGAGCTTCTTTCTGCTGTCCTGCTGTGAGTGCTAGAAATGAGGGAGAACTCCTAGCTCTGTGTCCTGACTACCCTGTGGCTTTGCCTTCCAGGTTTGTGCTCTCAGATCTCAATCCTCAGAATTATGAAGGTGGAGCTTGTGCATATTTGCAAGGTGATAAAGTGAAACCTGGAGTCTGTGGAGAACTTCGATTCTGCCTTTGTGAGAAACAGAAGGAAATACAGGGGAAAAATAAACTTCATTGACCCACCAGATAGATGATGTGGATGATCAAAGAGATTGCTGCAGCTGGAAGCGGAGCATGGAGCTCAGGAAAGGAAATAGATGCAACACCAGAAATCCCCCGATCTTGTACTGCTGTTTGCAGAGAGAACAGCAGGGTCATAAAATGCATCTTGGGTCAGTGTAGCTGCTTTCCTTGGCTGTCTGCTAAGCCACAAAATGCAGACAAGCCTGAACCCCTTCTGCTGCCTCTTTCAGTTCATGCCTGTGCTAGTTGACAGCAATCTCTTCCCCCTAAAGCCAAACTGCATCTTCTGGAGCCAGCAGAGAGTGGACACTTCTACCTTCATTACATCCATGCTTCTTCTTTTCTTGACCCTGTGATGGACTTTCGTGGTATTTTAGCAACCCCTCAGGCAAACAAGATGTTCTAGGAATTAATGGTGTGCATAGCCTGGGGGCTGGAGGGGGCACGCATCATAGGTCCATGAAATGAGAGATGGAGAAACCCCCATTATCTTCCAGTGATTGTTCATACTCAGGAAGAGATGCCTCCTGTTGTGTACGAGGCAGGATATGCTCCTGCACAAGAGCAGGAGCCCTAAAGGCTGGTGTTTTCACCACTACCCCAGGGAGGCTCCCTGTCCTCTATCTGCTACAGGGATATCACCTTGGTTCTCAAAATAAACCATCTTCCACCACTTGCATATCTCTCTGCTTGAGTAATGTGTGGGGTGTGTCAGGAACAGTCATGCGTGACTTTGCCATCTCTTTCAGGCAGGGGGAGGTCCATACCCTGCAACGGTCCATTGGGTTTCCCCAGGGTGGGAGTGTCACTGGGAAGAGGATGGGTGGCTTAGTGGCAGGTGTCCTACTGCACATGCCAGCCATGGCCCCTGGCCTGACACCCTGGCCTCCCCTTCTGTGGCAGTGCAAATAGCAATGACCAGGTCTTCTTGACCCAGGCACCTTGATCCCATTTGCTGGGTGGATGTTGTGGGGGGCAA